AGAAAAACTGAAAATGTAGGGGTGTGAAGTCACCTTGAGTGATTCCCTAAGATGAATTTTGAAGAAAAGAGGTTTCCAAGTCAAGAACACTTGGACGATGCTTGAAGATTTGAAGATCCTAAGAACAAATATGACGATATTTGTATGAGGGATCCATGATTTGAGTGAAGGAGTGTAGAACATTCAAGAGTGGAAATGAAGAACTTAACAATATTGAGTGAAAATTCGTGACTTTCCTGGAGTTCTTGCTTACAGAGAGAAAACATGAAGAAAAGAGTGTGAGAGGACATTTGGATTAAGAGTGTGGTGAACGAATCTATTGGAAATTGTGACATATAGATTTTGTATAGATTTGGTGTAATAAATCTGATGGTGTGCTGAGGAGTTGTAGAAGAAGGACAAGAATTTAACATGGTAAGGTGTGAGTAGTGACATAAAGTATAAATAGTAACTTGAAGTTGTCATAACTTTATGGGAAGGTCAACACTAATAGAGAATATCTTGCACAAAAGATATTATCCATACTTAATAATTTCTCCCAAAATATGATTAAAATATGAATATATGGGGTCTTATATGTCAAAATATGAGTTTGGGTGAAAATCCCAAGGTAAAATCTTGAAAAACGGGCTTAAAACGCGAAAGTAGTCGAAAACCGGAACCAAGAGGCGAACCTGCGAAGTTCTGAGTGTCAGAACCGAAGGTTCGGTCCAAGGAGGTTGAGAACTGAAGTAGGTTGATCCGAGAAGTCTCGCAGGCGAAGGTGTTATGTGGGAAGCGAAGGCAAAATGAACCGAAAGGAGGTGAAGCCGCGGTCTGAAGGGGCTTGATCCGAACTGAAGGGTGAGTTTGGTCCTTAAGCAAGTTCAGTTCTTAAGAACTATTTTGGTCTTTAGTGCTTTGGTTCTTGGCAGGTTCAATCCTTAGGGTTTGGTTCCTTAGAGGCTGTTTTCAGTCCTTATGGCTAGCCTCGGTTCTCTAAGAGGCTTTGTCCCTTTAAATCTGTTTTTCCATTAACCTTCCTGTTTTAAGTGATTTTTTACTAAGTTAAGGGTTGAGATGCACCGAGTGATTATAAAAAGTTGAGAGAGGTTTTGAGAGATATTTGGGAGAGATTTTAGAGAGACATTGTTTGTGACCTTTGTGATTGTTTAGCTTCACATTGCAAGGGTTGTAAACCCCATTAAGCCTAGTTGTGAGTGTTATACGCCCCCGAAGGGTATGTAATAATGTTTTATCGAGTAGTTCCATCACTTACCTTGATTAGGGTTTATTTTTTATGAACACGTGAAAACTCAAAGTGATACTTTGCATTAAGATTGGGTGTTGTACAATAGTAAACATAATGTAAACCCTAATATACAAGGGTTAATTGTGTTGACCGATTTGACTTGTTGAGTTTATTTGACTTTTACTTGACCAGAAATTGACGGTTGTCACATCATCCCCCTGTTAAAAGGAATTTCGTCTCGAAATTAGCACTTTGACCGGGACTTCAAGAGCTGGGGAAAAGATGTGGGTATTGTTGTTTCATCTGGTCTTCAAATTCCCAGTGAACTCGGGCCATCGCTTAGCATTCCATCAGACTTTCATAATGGGAATGCAACTTTGTTTCGTTATTTTGATTTCTCAGTCCATGATTTCTACCGGTTCGTCCATGAAGTGGAGACTCTCATTGATTTCAATCTCGTCAAGAGGAATAACAAGAGTCTCATCGTACAATCACTTCTTTAAGTTGGACACATGTAAGGTAGGGTGTACATTTTTGAGTTCTTGCGGTAATCGAAGTTTGTGATTATGTATCCTTGTGTATAGGATGTTGTTATGTTGTGGTGATATGTTAGATTTGGTAAATCTATATGATTACATGAACTTGTAGGTTATTGATTATTGTTTACATGTGTCGACATAATGTGGTTGGGTTGAGGCGGTCCTGCTTTGTATTGAAGGTCAGGATACCCAGGCGGTCCGGTTGATATTGTAGGCCCACAGGAGTGGTCCAACTGATGATGTAGGCTCAGGAGTAGTCCAACTTGTCACTGAAGGCTCAGGTGGTGGTCCAACTTTATGTTGTAGGCCTAGAGTGCATGCATTGTATACATGTTATGTGTAAGGTATATGTTTGGGAAAACTCACTAAACTTTGGCTTATAGTTGTTGGTTTCATGGTTTCAAGTACATTATATGATTGGGGTAAGGCGAAGACGTGATCTTACACACCCTCTACTGATATATATGTTTGAGAGATTTCTGATACTCTAGTTTTATGGATTTGTCTTGAAACAATGGTTGATTATATTTTGGTTTTTGGAAATGTTTTACAAAAAATGAAAATTTTTATCAAGATTATTGGGATGTTACAAGTATATTGAAATATTAAAGGACCAATTATGAAGATTTCCCATGTTTGATAGTATTTGCCAAAGAAAACATTATTTAGTATAATAAGGAGTACTAACTTTCCTTAAACTAACTTTAAAAACTTGATTGACATTTTAGAAAGACACAACTGTGAAATTGGTCCTTATGGCTTGCAAAAAACTGTGGATATAGTCCAAAAAGTTTCGAACTTGCATGGAAGGTCCAAAATTCAAAAAATTTCGTGGTTTGGTCTTGAAAAGTTGAAAGGAAAATTTTTCCCTTTTCAATTTTTTTTTTTTTTTTGCATTTTTTAAATACATTGTGAATTTAGTAAAAAAACATATAAATAAAGGGTCTACCCCACCCCATAGACCACCATTAAAGCTCATATCTCCTATCATTATACCCCCTTCTCTCCCCCCCCCCCCTTTTTTCTCTCTCTCTCTCATCTTCTTCTTCCTCTACTTTAATCTTCTTCTTCCTTTACATGCAAATTTGATGACATCTGTATCTATATGCTTAACAGAGGAGACGACCATCAGATATGTTCGTCGGAGAGTCATAACCCTTACCCCATCTACTATCCACCCTAATGGTAGCCTCTCTCACTCACTCACTCTCTATATCTCTCAACACAAACTTTTAACAAAGATCATATACCCCTCTCTTATACTCGTTTATTTCATCTGTATCATTCCTTAGATCAATTCCCAAAAAATTGTTCTATGTCTGAATACTATATGTTCTCCAATAAAAATGTCATCAAAATAAACAATTGATCTATCTTTGACATCGAATTCCAGGTAATTAGAACTATTTCGAAGCTCCATTTCAATTCAAGTATCATTATCCACCGATTTAAACCAAATCAAAAATCAATTTTGGTTCAATCCCATCTTCAAACTAAATTAAAAATATCACCCTATCTCTATCTCCATTTAAACTTGTTTATCCCTATCGACGAACACATCTCGTTCAACCAAATCGAAATCAATTAAACCCACTTTTGATTATCATCCAAAAATTCATCACTTTCAAAAGATTTTCATATGAATATTGTGCGTGCAGGGCATCATCTATGAAATACAAAAAGCAACTGAGATTATCCTAAAATCAATATATACAAAAATATTGACAACATATTTTAGGATTATTATCTTAGATTAAAACGACAATAAGAATTAAATTAAGAATCGAACACAGGAAATCATGAATGAAGAACACGGGATAGGAAAATTATAAAAGTATCAATGATGAACTGATACAACCATAGGGAAAAAATCAATTCATGAAAATAATATTGTTAGCTTAATTGATTGAGCAGATGAGATTAATTTTTAAATCTCAACATAGAAAAAATCTGGTGATAAAAATAGGATATGAGGCTTGAAGAACACTTCATGATGATGGTTGGGAAAAATGGTAAATAAAGATAGTGTAGGGTCTAAAATCGGACCAGGCGAAAATCGAAGCAGGAGGAGGAGCCACCAATGTCTTCTTCATCTTTTGTAGGAAGCAGAAGTTCAAATCGAAGAGTGATGAATCGACTGAGAAGCAGGTGCTATGGCGGTGATCCCGTTGGAAAATGGACTTCGTGGACTCCCTTTAACCCAGGAAGAAGGTTTATAGGTTGCCCAAATTACCAGGATGCACTTAAAGACTGCAAGTTCTTACAATGGGTGGATCCTCCTTTACCAAATCAGTGGTATGCAAATCTCATACTAGAATTTCACAACAATGTTAATTTGGAGAACAATGCAATTTTCGGGGACTGTGGACAACAACAAGCTGAAGGGAACTTTTTTGAGGACATTGTGGAACAAATAGTGGCACAACCACCAGTGGCAAATCAACCTGCAGAAGGAGTGGCCATTCAAGTCCAAAATGGAGAAGAAGGTGGAAAATGGAAATCTTTTTTTTATGTGTTCATGGTTTCTTTTGTTTTTGTGTTGGTGATGTTGAAGGATTTGTAGGATAGACAGAAGATGTATGGAAAATAGTGTGTTGGTGTCTTTTATGTGTTTTGGTGTCTTTTAGGATAGACAGAAGATGTATGGAAATCATGTTGTGTCCTTTTGTCAAGTGAAATGAATTAACAAGTTTATGTTTATGTATGAGTCATAAGTGCTTCGAATGTAATCATGAGTGAAAATAATGGAATGAAACAATGAATGGAATGAAACATGAATGGAATCATTAATTAATTGAATCAATAAACAATGGAATGAATATAGAATATAATCAAACATGTTTAATAAACAATGGAATCAATAATGATTGGAATCATTTATGACTGGAATCATGCATGACCAGAATCAAGTATGGTTGGAATCATGCATGACCGGAATCAATTATGGCAGGAATCAAACATGGTTGTAATCAATTAACATACACAATAGAATCAAATCAAACACAACATAAACATACACAAGTTAATCAAGGTAAAGATGCATTAACCATGTTATTCATAGAACATGTAATATTAACCAAAAGTTTGTACAAAACATAATCAAGGGGCCCAAAGCCTATACTTTATATGGCTATCAACAAAAGGAGCTATCAACAAAAGGGGCTATCAACGGTTGCCCAAAGCCAAAAACTTTATACATGTTCTTCACAAAAGGATGGGTTAGAAACACCCTAATCTAGACTAAGTGGGTTGGATGAACTCATCCCCTTCCCATGTTTGACAACCACCAATTTCTTCAATTGAATTTTTGTTATCCTCTCTGAAGTCTTCCTCTTTCTCAGTTTTGGCCTCCTGCCCATGTCCTCCACAACCAGGCCCTCTTGGTCTATACCTTCTTGTTCCATGCCCTCCTCACCTATGCCATTCTCATTGATTCCCTCCTGATCTAACCCTTGTGCACCCATTCCATCCTGATTCATGCCCTCTTTATCCATAACTTCTTGTTCCATGTCCTCCTCACCTATGTCATTCTCATTGATTCCCTCCTGATCCAACCCTTGTGCACCCATTCCATCCTGATTCATGCCCTCTTGATCCATAACTTCTTGTTCCATGCCCACCTCACCTATGCCATTCTCATTGATTCCCTCCTGATCTAACCCTTGTGCACCCATTCCATCCTGATTCATGCCCTCTTGATCCATACCTTCTTGTTCTCTACCCATATCCTCTTCAATGATTCCCTCTGGACCCATACCATCCTGATTCATACCTTCTTGTTCCATGCCCTCCTCATCCATACCCTCCTCTTCATTCTCAGTCAAAGTTTCTACAGTTAATTGGCTAGGAAATTCAAAACCCTGCAACAAGCATATCAATATAGGGTTAGGCATACTAAACACAATAAACTAAAATTATGTTGCTAAACCATACCTGTGATATATTAAGATCCACAGGTACATGTTTTAGACCCTCAAATTCATATAATTCTTCCTCATTGATTCCAAGACATTCCAAAATCTCTTGTGTAGTGTAATTCGACTGTCTCATGAAATCAATATCACTCTTTACATCCACTCTTATTTCATCATCAACTTCAAGACTCTCCATATCTTTTGCCTCTTCATTATCACTCTCAACAGTAGGAGTCACCACATTTTCTTCATCAAGATTAGAAGTTACCTCACCAAATTTGGTATTCCCACTACCTCTCTTGCCTCTTCCTCCAGATCCCCTACCACCACCTCTCTTCCCTCTTCTACCATATCCAGTACCCCCACCTCTATCACCTCTTCTAGATCCTATCCAGTTAGTCAAATCAGGATCCAATTTGGGTCTGCCTATTTTCTTTTTAGGTTTTGGCTCAGGTACAACCTTTGGATTTTTGCAAGAAGCTTTATTATGTCCCCTTTGAAGATAATTCTTGCATTGTACAGTTCTTCCCTTGTTAGACACTTGGGGGTACTTGTCTTCATGCTCAGATACATGTCTCCTTCTTTTGACATTGGGTCGTCCTGGCATCCTCCTAGCTGTAGGTGGAAGGGGCTTGGTATAGCCAGTTTCTTCCCACAAGTTACTTCCATTGATTGGAAGTATGTTAGACTGATATGTAGCCATGTAATTACTCTTGTTGAACCAAGTGCTAATGAATTCCTTTGGATCTTGGTTGGTGTATAAGATTGCTACCTGGGCATGCACACAAGGTATCCCTGCTATATCCCACAGTCTGCAACTACAGTAATGGTGTTCTGAATCAACTCCATAACTTTGAAATCCATTCCTAATTTCATATGAATTAACACCACTTGGCACTGCATACCAAGTCCTACAAATATAAAAATTTATGTTATTATAAATGTAATAACAGTAAATTAAAAAGCTACATGTATATATGAAATACAAAATATACCTTATATCCTCAGCAAATTCCTCCATCTTTAGAAGTGTTGCTTCACACACATCACCTTCTAATTTATGTGCTTCCTCTCTTAAGTTGTAGAACCTTTCCATCATGTAGAGTCTTATTTCTTCAAGCATAGCCAAAAGAGGCTTTTTTCTAGCATCTACAATGACTGCATTAAAACACTCAGTTATCCCATTCTCTACAGACTCACATGCCAAACCACTACCAAAAAATGCCCTGCACCATGTATGAGGTTCTCTAGCCATAAGATGATCATATGCACCTTCACTTAAAGTCTTGATCCTATCCATGTTTATCTTGAAATCACCTTCTGTTGTAGATTTTTCAGTTGCCCAAAACATGTTTCTGAATTGTATCCCACTATACACTTTCCTAAAATTGGCATAAATATGCCTAACACATTGTCTGTGCTCTACATGGGGTAGAATATCCTTTGTTGCTTCAACAAGACCCTAGGAAATGAAAAAATATATTAGTAACTATTATTAAAAACTATAATAGATGATATAAATTAGATGAAATTGTCATTACCTTGTGTTGATCACTAATGACACATAATCCTCTGCCAGCATCCAATGAAAGATCTTCACTAACTAGTTCCAAGAACCATGTCCAATTAACCTTGTTTTCAACCTCCACAACAGCCCATGCTATAGGGTAAATTTGATTGCAGTTAGTAACTCACCCTTGCATTATCCCTTTAAAAAACAACCATCCAACCCTATAACCCTACGACATCCTATCTTCCACCCATCTTTGATTGCTTTAAAGCACACATAGATTCTATGAAAAGTTGTAGTCTGATCAGGGTTAATATTAACATAAATCCTAACTGTGCTACCTGGATTGGACCTCATCAGTTCATGTCCATAATCCCACACTCTTGGCGACTATGGAGTTAGTGCACGTTGAGTAAACCTTGGCGACTATAGAGTTAGCACTTGTTGAGTAAGCCTCGGCGACTATGGAGTTAGCGCTTGTTAAGTGAACTTTGGTGACTATGGAGTTAGCGCCAGATAACTATGGATTTAGTACTTGATAAATAAGCTTTGGCAGCAATGGAATTCGTGCCAAATTCCTTACGCATAAATGAATGAAGGATAGTTTGTTCTTAGGATAAAACCTTAAGGAGATAATGGGGATGGATAATTAGGTTGATTGTTTGCTGATTACATATAATAATTATATTATTGTGGGTTGAAAACCCTATATGCTCACCAGGCTCGCAAGCCTAACCTACTCAGTTTTCTTTACATTACAGGTGATGGCACAAGAGTATAAGTTGGTGGACTTGACGAGAGATTTTGGATTATAGATCAGTAGTCATAAATAACTGTTTTAAGATTTATTTTATATTGTTTATGCTTTTGGTCTGTATCGAACATGACATCCCAAGGTTTTATTATTTAATGAAAATACATTCTCTTTGAGAAATGTTTTGATAAATTTTATCATATTTTATTTTGGGAACAAATTCCGCAACTCTTTTAATCAAAAGATTACTCTGATTTTATAAAACAAAGCATAAACAAATCGGTCTTTTCTGGCCGTGAAATTGGGGATGTCACAGTTGGTATCAGAGCATTAGTTTAAGCGAACTAGGAATATGGATTTATTTCTAGACTTAAACTTAGAATGCTAAGCAATGATTGTGAGTTGAGTGTGTCCATTATATTTTAGGTAGTACACCTAAATTGACACAGGCACTATTTTATTTTAGGAAAATTGCCTAAAATGCTATTATGTGCTAATTGTTATATGTTTTCCATATATGATGTTAATTGTTCGGATCTATGGTCTGTTGCCGACCGGATCTGGAAACCTTATGTGTTTAGGATTCTAAGTGTGCATCTACGATATTAGAACTAACATGTAAACTTTTCGGAGTGATAAGGATGATTTGAATATCTATCGTGACTAAGGATCTAATTTCACCTTATTCGGTGTATAGATCAAAAATGGTGAGAACGAAGAGTGGAGTTGGAAATGCTGATGAAAACAGGAATCAAATACCAGTAATTGAACAAATACCTGTTGTAGCAGCAGTGTCTGAACCAATAACAATGACCGGAGTTCAAGTGATGATCCAGGCAATGTTGAATAATCAGATGGAAGAAACCAGACGTCTGATCAGGCAGAATCGCGAGGAATTGTCAATTCAAGTTGAAGAGCCCGAAGTAAATGGAGGGCAGTCTGAAGGAGGAAACTACAGTGGGACCGATGGTCAAGCCAACCCACCAATAGTTCGCCAAAACAACCAGGATAGAGGAAATGATGGACGTGGATGCAAGTACAAGGATTTCATGGCATCCAAACCACCATGTCTTTCTGGGAGCCCGACACCGGTGTAAGTCATGGACTGGATCTCCGAAATGGAGACAATGTTTGAAAGTTGCGAGTGTAGCAATAGACAGAAGACCGCTCTTGCAATCCCTCTGTTAAAATCTGGAGTATTGAGCTGGTGGAAGTTACTGGCTGGTTCGATGCCCAAGGGGGAAGCTAGCAAGATGTCTTGGGAAGAATTCGTGGTGCAACTGAAATTGCAATACTGCTCTGAGCAAGATCTTCTGGAAATCAACAATGAGTTCCAGAATCTGAAGAAAGGAAAATTGAGTGTTACTGAATACGCTACGAGCTTTACGGAGAAGATGAAGCTTATTCCACGCCTAATTCCAACTGAGCTTTCCAAGGTCAACAAGTTTGCTAATGGATTACCAGCGGACTTTGGTCCGATAGTCAAACAAGCAACCACTCTGAAAGCCGCCATCTGGGCAGCCAAGAATGTTGAGGCCCAAATAAAAGAAAAGGGTCTGGAAAGAGCTGAAGTTGGAGAGAAAAGGAAGCGTGAAGGATCTTCAATAATCGACAAAGAAAGTAAATTCTCGAAATCTGGGGGAAGAGATGAAGCTAAGTGGTGTGAGAAGTGTAAGAAGAAACACTTCGGGAAATGTAGCGAGGAGATGACTTGATACAAATGTGGGAAGACAGGGAACTATGCCAACAAGTGCGCACCTATCAAGAAGGTGTGCTATAGGTGTAACGAAGAAGGTCATATTTCTAAAGACTGCCCACAGAAAAACACGCCTCCACAGCCAAGGGCATTCAACATGTTCCTCAACGAAGCAAAAAAGGATGGGAGGATTAAAAGATGAAGACTTCATATTAATATATATAAAGTCTGTATCAGGAAGCATAGCCTGTTAGAGGCATAGTATAGGGTGAACTTGAACTTTTGTGTAATAGTTTCAAGATTTAATATAAACCCTAGTTTAGTTATCTGATGTGTTGAATGATTATATGATTTATGTATGGTGACTTGGTTAACTGCGAGACAATACTTGGGACGAGTATGAGTAGGTGTGAATGGTAGTAGAGATCTATACTACCGGAAGCACAGGACTCGCACTTGAATTAGGGAAAGTCGCAAGGTTACAAAGAAGCTAGTAATTGATTTCGTTTTATTCAAGTTTGTCATTACCCTTGTTTCGGTAATGGCTAGTGGGATGATGGTTATTCCGACCCTAGTGGTCATATTAAATTGAGTCCGACTACGATGAGAGGTCATCGGGACTCGACCCATCAGTTAGTTAAAATAGATAAATGAATGTATTTACCCTAAGAAGAAGAAGGAGTCCACAATAAGGATTTATTTTTGTAACTTTAAGATTTCGATTGAAAGTCCAACATAGTACGAAGAGTATATGCAGGATTGAGCATCAAGGTTATTACTTAGGATGGAGAGATAACTTATGGAGTCAGTATACAAATCCTATTTCGTTGATGATTCCGGGACGTAATCATCCTAAGGGGGAGATAATTGTAACGCTTGTAGATTCAGGCTAGTCAATTTAGAGACAATAAGCGTCAAAAATGACTTTTTGATAGAAGATTATTTAGGATGAATAATCCTAACTAAGTTGTAGTATATGTTACAAGGTTTCCGTGCATATAAAGAACGCCAAAATCCGAGTTATAACGAAGAAGTTACGACTTGTTAAAGTTTCGCGACAGAAACGGCACAACGCTGAATGACGTAAAAAGTGAATTTACGTTAGAGTAGAATCGAAGATCTCGTTGTTATTAGCGAAACGACGAAAAGTTAGGCAAGAACGGACGTCGGACGAAGAAGTTATGAATTTATAATGAGATTTTCTATCCCGACCTATTAAAAATAAATAATAAAAATAAAAGTCAAAATTAGCCGACGGAATCTAAACGCCTGTACGCCCCGCGTACTCCGAGGCTCCAGCCTCCTATAAAAAGGATGCGAGGGCAGTCGGTTCTTTTGTTCATTTTCTCTATTCTCTCTCCCGTTTTGCCTCGATTTGCGTGCCAGAAATACCTCGAAGCTCCGGTATTATTCTCGAGCCCCGAAGCAAGTCCCGAGATCCCGAAGATCCCGAGAAGTGCGGTTCCCGAGCCGAAGCTCTGCCCGCGAGAAGTTCGATTTTTGTGGAGATCTTCCAGATCTACCGAAGAATACTACTTCTGCAAGTCGTAGTGCTGTCTGATCATCTTCTGATCAAGTGAGTGTATACTACCTTTCATAAACACGATAATAATACAAGTATGGTTTGAGTGTATTAAGTTTATTGTTGTTTATATGTGTGAGTGTGTAGTTACTTTCTTCTAACACATAAATATGACGTATTTGCTATGAAATACATGCTATGTGTTTATATGTTATTTGTCTATTTGAGATGGGCATGGAAATTGGAGTTTTATACAGGTGTTAAATGATTTAAACTGTGTAAGTATTTATCTCTACAAATTTGTTGGGTAGAACATAGGTAGATGGAATAATTGGTGACTATGGAGTTAGCGCCTATTGTATAAACCTTGGCGACTATGGAGTTAGCGCACGTTGAGTAAACCTTGGTGACTATGGAGTTAGCGCACTTTGAGTAAACTTTGGCGACTATGGAGTTAGCTCTTGTTGAGTAAGCCTTGACGACTATGGAGTTAGCGCTTGTTAAGTGAACTTTGGTGACTATGGAGTTAGTGCCAGATAATTATGGATTTAGTACTTGATAAATAAGCTTTGGCAGCAATGGAATTCGTGCCAAATTCCTTACGCATAAATGAATGAAGGATAGTTGGTTCTTAGGATAAAACCTTAAGGAGATAATGGGGATGGGTAATTGGGTTGATTGTTTGCTGATTACATATAATAATTATATTATTGTGGGTTGAAAACCCTATATGCTCATCAGGCTTCCAAGCCTGACCTACTCAGTTTTCTTTACATTACAGGTGATGGCACAAGAGTATAAGTTGGTGGACTTGACGAGAGATTTTGGATTATAGATCAGTAGTCATAAATAACTGTTGTAAGATTTATTTTATATTGTTTATACTTTTGGTCTGTATCAAACATGACATCCCAATGTTTTATTATTTAATGAAAATACATTCTCTTTGAGAAATGTTTTGATAAATTTTATCATATTTTATTTTGGGAACAAATTCCGCAACTCTTTTAATCCAAAGATTACTCTGATTTTATAAAACAAAACATAAACAAATCGGTCTTTTCTAGCCGTGAAATTGGGGACGTCACATCTTTGCATCTTGAAACTGATTTGGTTTTTACAAAATCATCAACTTGAACGTCGATTGTGTCAGACTCAAAGACTTCATCCATCGCGAAAGGACACGAGCAGAATTGATTGATCGATTTGTCGGGAATAAAGGAGACGAGAAAAAAAAGTTTTCAAAGAAAACCTAAATTAATGAGGTCAAGGATACAGTCGATGCCATATAGTCTTCTTTAACCAGGAAAACAAGGGTCACCGGATGATAAGGACTAAATTGTCCGGTTTATCCAGTTTATTGGATTTTTTCATTTAAAAAAAAA